ATTTCAAAAAATATTAAAAGAATTACAGTTTGTATACGTCAAAAAAAGTCGGAATAGCGCGCTTCTTGAAAGAGATGACCTCGTGACTTGGCGGCAAAATTATTTGAGCACCATAAAGCAATACAGAGCACAGGGCAGACCGATCTATTACTTAGACGAGACGTGGGTCAACGCGGGAGAAACGCATAGTAGAACATGGGTCGRCAGTTCGGTCACTTCAYGACGTGACGCATTCAAAAGGGGCCTCACAACAGGACAAAAGGAACCCTCGGGCAAAGGTAAACGGCTCATCGTCTTACACATTGGTTCATCTGACGGCTTTGTYCCGGGGGGCCTTTTGTGTTTTGAATCAAAAACAAACTCATCCGACTACCATGATGAGATGAATGGTTCTACTTTTTTTGAATGGTTTGTCAAAATTTTACCGTTACTTAAAGATAATGCAGTCATTGTTATGGATAATGCCTCGTATCATTCCGTAAAAAAAGATCCAACTCCAGTAAGGTCGTGGAAAAAACAAGACATTATAAACTGGCTGGAAAGTAAAGGTGAGGTCGTAATACAACCAATAGTAAAGGCAGTATTGTTRGAGAGAGTAAAAAAAATAAAATCGGAACACGAAAAATACGTTATCGACGAGTAYGCAAAAGAAAACAATAAAACCGTATTAAGATTRCCTCCATACCATTGCGAGCTAAACCCGATAGAGCTCGCGTGGTCATCCGTTAAACATTATGTCCGGACGCATAACAGTACATACAAGATAAAAGACGTACAAGAATTATTAAAACAAGGCGTAGAACATGTAACGCAAGAAATGTGGACCAATTTTGTTGAGCATGTCGTAAAGGAGGAACACAAATTCTGGAAAATTGACTTCATCACAGATGAAATTTTGGAGGAAGAACCTGCCGAAGATCAACACATCATGACAATAGGAACAGGTGATACCARTGGTTYTGAATGTTCTGATTTTGATTCAGAGTATTCAGATTCTGAATGATTAATTTGTATTATTATTTTTGTTATTGTATTATTTAAATTTGTCTTTTATTTTGGTATTATTATTTACAAAATCCATTTTGCATTACATTTATGAATGATTAAATGAATTGCGATTATTTGTATGTATTTTATTTGTAATTTTTTTGTATTAAATTTTTTTGGTATTTAAACGATTTTTTTTTACTAAATACATGYTATTTAAATGTGTATTATGTAATATACATATATTATGTAATTACTCATTTTGGTTTAAATAAATAAAAAATTGCATAAATAAAATATTGGTGTTACATATATATCATTAGTATTGTATAGTGTATACACAATAGACACGCCCGACACCGGGTGTTATTATTTCTATTGTTTACTTGAGCCGCTGTAGACAAACCAYTTGTTGCCGCTCGGCAGCGGCRGCCGTGGAATTAGCTACCATCACCGCGTAGCGAGTGGGGGCATGTTGGGCGGCCAATAGGYAGTAGAGTGGGAGAAAAATGGGTACGGAATCGCGGAGCTCGTTCATTTGGATGCGCCAAGGAGTAGCGCTCTCTCAGTGGCCGGAGTATAGTAAATTCATCATACCATTTTAATATATCTGTCGCCGCCGCAACATAATTATAAATAAACTTATAGCATAATAGTATTCAATTATTTAATATTGGGCAGCGAGGATAGCTGGACACAAACACACACTCACACTATTACTGTTGTCATTATAATGTTTCATTTTTATATCTATTTAAATATGTCTTGTGAGTTATATTATACCTATATGGGCTACTGAAAGGGCTAAAGCTCTAATAGCTGCCGTCATATTATATTGTCATTTGCTTGGACATAAGGGCCGCTCATTTATATATACCTTTTTCTGTTGGGCCAGAAGGGCCACAATATATTGTATACTGTTATAGCCATAAGGGCTTGATTTATTATATATTATATTTTTTATACTTATTGTGTTGCTGTGATTTTTATCATATATTTGTACTATTATTCAATTTGTGTATTATACAGCAACTCATTTTTGATAGCAATCGTGTTACCATTTTTCTTTTATTATTAGTCATTGTATACAAACCCACACTCATACACATTTAGACACAAATACACATAGTTACACAACACGCACAACTCATAGCTCGACAGTATTTGCCCGGCGTTCCCAACCACTGCTGTTCGAGCTATTACATCACTACACACCCTGCTAGTCCATGTCTGTGAACTTGGCAGCACTAAGGTAACAGAATTCAATTAAACCTATCCAACAATTTTGTTGGACATTGTTGGAAAGTTTTTAAAATTTGTTGGATAATAAAAAAAAAAGTTATGTTCAATTTTCCAAAACCACCGCCAAGTTCTCATCAACGGCCAACACTAAATCAAACACAACAAAAACTATCAAAAACTGTAGATGACAATTTGTTGGAAAGGTCCCACGATTTGTTGGATCACCATTTATTTTATACGATTTTTTGAAAAAGTGCCGCTAACTTCACACCAGTGGCCAACAATTCCAAAAAACTACAAAACCAACCTAAACCGTTGTTGACGGTTTGTTGGACGTTGTTGGAAAGGTCCCACGATTGGTTTTGATCGCCGTTTATTTTTTTCGAATTTTTTAAAAAATCCCTATAACATGATACCAATAAAGTGGCCTACAATTCCAAAAACCCCAATAACCATCCTAAACCGTTGTTTTCGGTTCGTTGGACGTTGTTGGAAAGGTCCCACGACTTGTTGGATCATAAATATACTACATTTTTTTAAAATTTTTTCGATATTTCTGATCTTTAAAAATATAAACAAATGAAATATAATATTGTATTCATACAAATAAGGTATCAGTATAAAATGAACTTCAAAACATAATAAAAAATGATGATAAATAAAATCATTATAACATTCAAATTATAATTATTCAAACAAATGAGGTATAAATTAAAAAATATTYTTCCAAAACAATGTAAAAAATAATGAGAAAAAAAATTTATCTTTTCCTAAATAAAATTATTTCCTATAATATTTTAATTAAATTTCAAATATTTAAAATCTTAGATATTTAGGTTAATCAAAATAAAAGAATTTTTAAACAACATAATAATATAAAACGTCAATTAAAATCATTATTTGTACAATTAATTTATTTTATTTTATTGCTTTATATAAAAAAATGGTATGTAGCATTATACGCATTGTACCTTTAATCATACGACCTACGTCGTGCTGCTCCCATTATCCACTTAGGCKTCTTATATATCCTAATATAATGACCAATCCCGCTTAAAACACTTGGCTCTATGTACGCAGTCATTCCTGTGAGACGGTACCTGAAGATAAATTATTATCTTTTATTTATTTATTTGTCACTTGTTTAGTTTAAATATTTTTTATTTTATTTTGTACTTAAAAGTTTATGATCTATCAGAGTATTGTTTAGTTAAAATATTTTTTTAGGGTAATTAGATAATTAGTTTTTATATTGAAAAATGATTAATGCAAAACCATACATATATATATGTATTTATTTTATGATCAACCTTAAACATTCATATTTCTTTAAATTTATGTTCAGCTTTGTTGAATATCACCAATACTGGTGGCATTATGATATCATCCAAATTCATTAAAGTTTTATTGACGATTTAAATTAATTGGGACTAAATTTAATCCAAACATTTTAAACTTAATTTACTCATTATGTATTATGTATTATACTTGGAAAAGAGAATAAAAATAAGTTCTTTATAAAAATTATGATTGTTAAACTTTTTAAAATACGTAGTTGGTAATAATAATCTGTTATGGTATTATATTATACCCGTGCAAATAACATAAAATCAAATTGCTATAAATCGGTAATTTTTTTAAGTTAGAAAAGAAATTCATTCATTAAAAAATACCAAAAAAAATAATTTGTGGTGAAAAATGGATCATGCTTTTTAAAGGAAAAAAATTGTTATGCGCATGCGCAAAATAGAGTGTCAAAAAAATAGTCTAATTATTTGAAAATGTGTATAATAATGTTTATTAGTTAGCCGAAAAGTAGAATTGAAATATATGAAGCCTACACATAGTTATTGAGTTTTTCCACTTATCGTGATCACACTGTATAGAAAACCAAATTTTGTATAGGTAAAGAAGAAATTTGTAAAAATAAAGAAATATAACAACGTGTTTTGCATATTAAAACCCATAACAACCAACTATGAACAAAAGTACTTTTTTAAGCACCTCCACGGGTCTTCGAAATCGGTCCAGCCGTTTAGGAATGCAATAATTCATTTTGATATAAATAGATAAAGTAAAATATAAATATATATTATTCAAAAAATAAGTTAAATATCAGCTAAAAAACTATCTTTGTATAATTTATAGTAGCACCAAGTGTTATTTATTTTTGTCTGCTACAGGCTACTGCAAATAAATTTATTATTAATTTTATGTTTCTATCATAGTTAATTTAAACGAGTAAGTATCTTTTCAATTATTAATTTATATTATTTAAATAAGTGTACCTACCTACCTAATATTATTATACATTATTTAATTATTATGATTTTCTAATTGTGTAAATATCACTGATATCACAGTAATATCACTGAGAAGTGAGAATATTAATATTTTTGTGTTGAATGTAATACGCCACGTGACCATCTGGAAGATACAGGCTATGGCAATAGCGGCCTTTGGAATTCCCAGGTGATGTCGAATTATACAACTCTACACGTTTGTATACAATTTAATAGTGTATTATTATATTTAAATACAATACCATATTATATATAAATAGTTATTATTAGTCAATAATAAAATGATCACTCAATAGCTTATATTAAATACTAATATAATTTATAATTGGACCGAGAATGTTTTGTCATTTTACCATCAAGACAAGTTCTGAATGGCTGTATCCTAGTATCCTTTAAACATTTTTATTGTTTGACGAAATCAATAAAGTTTTTGGTGTTTTATATATTTATTTATTATTTTAAACTCAACTAAGGTAAGCAAAAATTACATTAGTTTTTTTATTTAATATTATTCATTACTATACGATTACTTACTGTCGGATAGTAATGAAAATTACAATCTTTTCCAAATATTTTTAATGGATATACTATTAGACTCAAATATTTGGAACAGATTGTAATTTTCATTACTTTTTTATCATATGAAATCGGCATATTGAAATATAATCAACTGTTTTTAGTACGTAATAATATATTTTTTCTAGTAAGCAGCATAAGTCGAAACCGATTTCCTATCGTGGGTGGGTACAGTTTATAAATAACCAATTATTGTGCGTACGAAAATAATAAATTTTCCATAAATATTATTAAATTTTTTTAATTCAATATATCAAATTCCTAGACAGTTCTTCTGGTACGGAGTCAAGTTTTAGAAAATATAAAACTGAAAAAACTTTGTTTTAGAAAATATAACATATTTTAAAATGCTGAGTTTTAGAAATGTTTATTTTGTTAAAAACTTCTCTACGTTCTGTTTTCTGTATATATTACAAAAAACTGACTTATGAAATAACTCATATGTTCTAATTGATATTTAATTTTAATTTTGTAATTCAATTTATAATTAGTAAGTATAAAGAGTACAATTTTCATTTTTATTATTATCAATATCACTTAGCTCGCACAAAATAGGTAATAAAAATTAATTTGAAATTCAGAATAGCCAATTTGTTAATCTGCTATTTATTTTTTATTTTTATTTCTATTATTAATAAAACAAATATATATATATTTACAATCTGTATTCAATTGATACAACAAGTAAATTTTAGAATATTATGTACCAGGCATTTAGGCGTGATAGAAGGGGGAGGGATCCAGTGACACTATTTCAATAATTTAATAATTTAATATTTCAATTATTATTTACAATGTTTTGGAAGAATATTTTTTAATTTATACCTCATTTGTTTGAATAATATTAATTTGAATGTTATAATGATTTTATTTATCATAATTTTTATTATGTTTT